CTTATTTTAAAGCAATTAATTTTTTAATAGAAACATTGATTGTACCTATTTATGGAGTACAAAGTTATATTTCAATACATGTATACAATGTGTGATGATCAAATCAGAGTAATTAGCATATTCATCATCACAAACCTTTATCATTTCTTTGTGATGAGAACATTTGATCTCTTTTCTAGCCATTTGAGAACATACAATAAATTGTTCATTATAGATGCCTAGCACTACCGCACACCATTAGACCTGATTTTTCCTGTCTTGCTGTAATTTGTGTCCATTAATCAACCTCTTCCTTTTCCCCTTTCCCCTCCCATTCCCAAACTCTAGTAACCATGATTCTACACTCTACTTCTAAAAGTTCAACTTATTTTTTTGTTGTTCAATTTCGAGTGTATTTATAAAGCCCATTTTATCCATATATCATAGTCCTGGGCTCTGTGGATAGGAAAAATATTTAGAAATGGTCTCTACTTTGGAGTGGCTGACAGTCTCAGAGACACAGACAGGTTTGAAAACCATTACATGTACTGAAGTGTTATAGATGTTATGATATTAATCTGTACAGAGACTAATGGCCCAAAAGAGAGAGGGTCGACTCTACCTGAGTAAGGGAGATGGATCAATAAAGGTTTAATAGAATATTTTTATTATGATACAAATGAAAAGGACTATGTTACTGTGTCTTCCCATGTCGTCTGGGGCAAATGAATTTTAAGGGAGTAAAAGTGACTACATGGCAAATTATACATCCATAAATTAGTGGGGTTTTTTCCTACCCCTTCTGAGTCTAAACAGATCCTTATAAACAGGTAACAGCACAGTGAACTTAAATAGCATTGAAGTCCGAGCCACTTGATTTTAGTCCTCAGATGTGTGACTTTGGACATATCATTCTACCATGTTAGGTCACCCCATCTTCTTTTGTAAAATGTGGGCACTACACTAGATACCATTTAAGGTCTCTCAGCTCAGAGCTAATAACTGCTGTCAAATCTCTAAAATCTCCTTTTTT